CACCCTCCGCGACGGTTCACGAGAAAGTGAGGAAGCAAGCACAGACCTGCACGGGATGGTACGACCTTGGTACACGGCGTACACGGCTAAGTCAATAAACTGGGTGACGCAACTCACTAGCGCGTTGGACTGACGGAGAGCACCGCTACCGCGGCACGCTCTACCGTACTCTCTCGCTCGCACACCTAGCCACCGAAATTCTCGGCACGCATGAACACCGACGGAGAGCACCGATACCACGGCTCACTCTACCGGTCTCACTCGCACGCCGTGACGTCACCCGATTCCCGGAATCCCGCGGCTACGAGATAGCTCATACGGTAGTAAGGCATTCCCGCAAGGGAAATTGTAAGTCGCCAGCCAAAAGGTAGACTTGATAGTCTATTTATGAAGCTACATCTATTCTGAATTTATCTGTTACAAATATACAAATACAATAGACTATACACTTTTACGAAATAGATAGGAATACTTCAGAATACTATAAACGTGGCTTACGTTGGCACAACTGATTTCAAAGCAATTGCAGTGTACGTCAATGTGAATTTCAAACTTGGCTTTCCGTCAACGGTCGATGTTGTTGGGTGTTTGAATGTACATTTGTGAAGTCTGCCTGCATAATGTTTAATAAGAGAGATTTGGCGAAAGCAATTTCGCCTAATAAAGTTAGAAAGATTACGAAGAAACAGGTAGCGGTTATTGGAACGAAACCTAATACAAGTGGACGTACAAGTTTGTCGACACAAACCGAATGTGGCTCACAAACAAGTATTAAGGTAATTGTACGAGTTCGACCACAAAATGAACGTGAATTACAGAGCAATTGTAGAACCATTATAAAAGTTGTTGACGATAGAATGTTAATTTTCGATCCAAAGGAAGAGGAAAATCCTTTCTTTTACCATGGTGTCGCTCAGAAGGGTCGAGATTTACTTAGAAAACAAAACAAAGAATTACAATTCATTTTTGATAAAGTCTTTGATGTACAATCTAACAATAGCGATGTATTCCAAGGAAGTACCAAAGACTTAATCACTGGTCTGCTGGATGGTTATAATTGTTCTGTGTTTGCATATGGAGCAACAGGCGCTGGAAAAACTCATACAATGCTTGGCAGCAATGATGATCTTGGTATTACATACAGGACAGTAGCAGAATTATTTTATCAAATCGAAAAGCAGGGTGAGCATCGTGAATTTAATTTAGGTGTAACATACTTGGAAGTGTATAATGAGAATGTTCAAGATCTTTTACATAAGTCTGGTCTTTTACATTTGAGAGACGATGGTAGGTACGGCATCATAGTTGCTGGCCTTAAAGTAATTAGTATTAACAGTGCAGGGGAATTATTGTCTCTTTTAGCAAAGGGTAACAAAAATCGTACTCAGCATCCTACAGATGCAAACGCGGAAAGTAGCAGAAGCCATGCTGTCTTTCAGGTTTATATTAATATTACAAACAAATTAGATGGCCAAGTGAAGAAAGTCAAATTGTCTATGATCGATTTAGCTGGATCTGAAAGAGCTTCTGCTACAGGATGCAAAGGACCAAGATTCAAGGAAGGTGCAAATATTAATAAGTCTTTACTAGCTCTTGGAAATTGCATTAATAATTTAGCTGATGGCATAAAACATATAACATACAGAGATTCCAAATTAACACGATTATTGAAAGATTCGTTAGGTGGGAATTGTCAGACAGTTATGATAGCTAATATTGCACCTTCCAGCTTCAGTTATGAAGATACGTATAACACTTTACGATACGCGAACAGAGCGAAGAAAATAAAAACTTACGTAAAGAAAAATATTTTATCTTGCGAAATGCATGTGACTGGGTATATAAAAATGGTGGAAGAACAAAAGAAAGAAATAAGTTATTTAAAACAGAGGCTATTAGCTTTAGATAATGGAACTGTGGATGTATCGCTAGTGTCCAGGGATACAAAGACAGATCAGGAGGCAGAAAACAAATTTATTCAGCTACTTCAAAAGAAGAAAACCCTAAATGAGAAAGTCTTATCATTAGAAAGTACCGACAAAATACTGTGTTGTAGAATTCAATATAAGAAAGCTGCAGATGAGAGATTACATAATCTTACAGCGGCTATAGACGGCGCACGTACAGAAGAACAAAATGCCAGTGGTAAAACGCGTGTAAATAAATCTTTGCAATACTTCGAGCGGCAAAGAGAATCCTTGAAAAGACAAATGGTAACAACGTGGGAAGAATTGTGTTTGATTGAAACAGAATTACAAAAACTGAAAACTGAAATGCAGCCGCAGAAACTGGAAAAGTTCGAGAATTTATTTGCGCTAAAAAATTGCGAAATAGAAAAAGGTAGATTGCAACAGCAGTACGAGCATGTGAAAAGGATCAGTAATCTTCAACAGTGTGAAATGCGGTCTCATTATTCGATGATTAAAACGATGAGTGGAACATTACAAAATTATTACAATACAATGAAAAGCAATGAAACAATGACAGACACGACAAAGGAGGAATTTAAGCAATTAAGTAAATTATTGGAAGGTGTAAGAAATATCAAATGGTCGGATATGGAAAAGATCGATCACGAAGAACATTTTTACAACTTGACTTGCCTTAGCATATCTGACTTGATAGATCCCCTCCATAGTAAAGTGCCAATATACATGATTAATTCTTTGAATAATGAGGATCAGGCTAATGGTCCTAAAGACACCTTAAATACAACTTTCGATACATCTAGTTCAGACATAGACAAAGCCATCAATATGCATGATACAACTATTACTTTGCTGGAAAGTTCAAACACAACTATCAATAAGGATACAACGGAATCAAACGAACACACAGAAGGTGGGAACAGTGAGGGAAATTGTATCCCGGGGAAGACGAGAAAGCGTGTTCTTATGGATAAAAATCATGAAGATAGTGCAAAAACACCCATAAAGCAACCAAGAACGATACTTCTAAAACATAAAAATACACTGGACCCAATAGGTATCAAGGGTAAAGAAAATAAACTTGTACAAAGACCACCGACAGTAATGAGCGCAAAAAGCATTGCCACATTGAATAAATTAAAAGCGGAGAAACTTAAAAACGGTAGCAGTGATGTGAAAGCATTGCCCAGTGCTTTGAAAGCAATGAGAGGAAAGGAAAGGCGTGGATTAATGACAACACATCCATACCAGAAGCCAAATGAAAAACAGAAGTAAGTGTGGTATTTATGAGCATAGAAATAATTGATGTGCATATTGAAACTTTTAAAACGCAAGTATAGATATACAAAAACAATTGCAAAGTAATACAGGAAGTTTTGCAATCGGTATTAAATTAATGTATACTGTGAAAAATTGTCAAGGATAAAAGATTTTCGAGACCTTGAAGTACCGAAAAATGACTATCGTATCTTTATACAGAAAAAAAGAGGATTTCTTCTATATTATATATTGTTACAGATCCGTTCCAGCTCTGCCCTCGTCTCGAGTACCATGGTAGCAGAGATAGTAATTCATGATATATCGAGCAATGTATGTAATTATTTATGTTTCAGCCAGTAAATAACGTGCACATAGAACTGGCTGAATAGCTTATATTTGTATTATAATATTAGTGCAAAAATCATTAGTATAGGATGACATTGTCATACTTGTGTACATTATTATTAGACTGTGGATTTTATCAAATTATAATGTTTACAAGCGTCAATAACTCGATATAACAAAATATTTAATAAAGTTCAATGAGATTTTCATTTTCTTTGGATTGTATTCTGTAACTTGCTGTTTTGCTAAGAGATTTTATGATTTACGCTGCGCGTTCAGGTAACGATATTTTAATGAATAACTTGAAAGACTGAGTATAGAATGAACAAAGATAAATTGAATATACTCAATGTGACACTGAGATGAAGTACTGTAAAGTACTATAGACGTAATTTATTTTAATTACCTTTTGTATTTTCCATGTATCTTGTACAAACCGCAATGAAATAAATATGTATTCGCAGACCGAGCGATAACACCATTGTTCGATAACTCAATTCCAGTTGGTCGGACTCCATCCCTCTCGTCACGGAATATGTTTTCTAACTCTACTCGAGTAAGATGTATTGGAAATTATGCAATTCTTCTGTAATGAATATACGGTACGAATATAATGAATATCTGCACATGTCTATTAATAGCAATATCAAATGAAAGAAATGTTTTTCATAGCAATATTTCATTTTATCATTAACAAATAATATTTGCAATATATCATCAGTCAGTAAACGATTCTAAAATAGATGAACTAATTGCATTTATTGTGATATTACAAGAATTTTAGATTTCCTGGATGACTGATTTATAACAATTAAACTGTGATCTACATAGGAAAATTATAATATTCTTATAGGCATTTATTTTTCATTGTCTATATAATTGAGATTTAGCACATTCTTGACAGCTTCTTTGTATTTCTTGATCGAAACATCGTCTTCTCCATTATTTATCAGTTCTGAAACTGCGATTTTGTATTCTTGTGCGTGCGGTATATCGTCGTAATTAGCATTGACTTCTGGATTTGGCCAAGAGTATACAGTCACTAAATTAGTTCGACTTTTGCTTTTATCCCAATCATAGTATTCCATGTCCGCTTCCGATTTCTCGCTTTCCCATGGTTCAATTCGCTAGAAAGATACACGATACAATTGACGTTGTTTTCAAGCGAATAAATTTATTTAATCGGTGGAAAATATTTAGCACACTGGCAGGTAACTCACGTGGGATATGTGGAATAATGCTGTGAGAAGATAGTTGACATAATCTAAATTTTGTTTTCTAGTTGGGCATTTGTCTGCAGTTATCGTTACTATGCCTGTTTCAGGATTATATTTCTCACCCACTAACCTGAGTATTTTATCTTTAGCATGAGCGTCTAGGCATAAAGAAGATAGCCTCACCCTCAAACTCACTATTCTCGCAAGAGGTTCTCTTATTGTGGGAGAAGAGTAACAATAATCGGATGTGATTATTTCCACTGGGAAATGTTGTTCACAAGCTTCGTCCGTATCGAGTTCCTCAGGCCACTTTGTGCAAAATTTTTGTATCGCTTTGCAGTGCGCTTTAACCGCAGGCGGAGTAAGGTGCAAGAAATTTGGAATTTTCATGAGTTCTGCGTTACCGTATTTATTAGGATGCGGGTTTTTATTATGTTTATATCCTTGCCGTACGGGCAGCGGCACAGTCGATGGATGAAACGTACGCGCAGTGGGCCAAATTGCTTGCCAATTTTGGTCGGTCGACATTACTTCCTCTTTTGGTGGCAGTTTATTTATTTGATAATGCGCTCGCTTTTTCGACTGTGTAGACTTTTTTGGTATTAGTTCCAGTACTCGAAATTCTATGGAAAACAAAAACCATAAAGATACGAATGCTGGCAAGTTCGAAAGATCAGTAATACCTTAAGTTTTAATACGGTGTAACGCAGTTACGTCAATATTGTGTTTAGAGAGGAAGAAAGAACATGGAAAATGTGATGGTAAATTTGTTACACCTAAAGGGCACAAGTATTTATGCTGTGTAACACAACATGTGTCGTTTAAGAATGTTCTGTAGTGTAGGATTTTAATGAAAATATTGCAGTACCTTCACCAGCATCCGCTGCGTTTGTGGATGTACAAAACGATGACGAAAGCTTTATAATTTTTGAACTTATTTGAATAGCATTGCTCTCGCAACGTCGTATTAGCGACATCATTTTAATGATGAAATCAATTCCCAATTAACCTCAAAGCTACTCCAACATCACACACAGTCCGCACCACTACAGTGTAGTGAACAGCTGACTGGTTCTGTTCCCCGCGTTCCTTTAAATGTTACTCGTCTACTTTATAGATAAAGTCCGTCACAACAAAACCACGTGATCTTAGCAAAGATGTCCACGCACTAAAAGAATTTGTTCGGTTCAAATTCAAAATTCACCACTTAAAAACTTTGTTAGAATACCGTGCTACTAAAATGAACCAATAAGAAATCAATCACGTGAGACTATATAGACGCTACGCAATTGCGACGGTGTCTATCTTTAACATATCGGACTTACACGAATAACAGGTCGGAAGTTGTATTTCCAGAGATGACGTTCCCGGTCCGCACTGGTCTATGTTGCCGACCGTACAAAGGTGTGTTATGGAGTGATGGCGTCTCCTCGTCCGAAATCACCGCGACCACCAATTTCCGCGAAAAAGGATGACAAGGAAGAGAGTTTTTGGGACAAGATTGGAACCCTAGGCCGAAAGAAGCGAATCAAAGAAGGTATATTATTTGTCATGTTCAGCGTTACGCCATTCAGTTAACCTTACTTGCTAATTGTACATACTTTCTTGTCTGCTCATCGAACGAACCTCCATATATGGCGTCGTTCCATGGTTGAAATCGCCTCATAAAATGATCGACGAAACTATTACAAACTGTATTAACAGTAAGCAGGTCTGGGTTAGGTTAAGTTAACCGTTCATCGAATCACCTTATGAAAGTCCCTTTAAATATATCAACAAAGAGATAATTGCTCACGAAAGCGTTCTTAATTTTGTGAACCTAGTGCAAGAAGTTCAAGAAGAAGGAAAATATGCCATTGACTCACCGGGATACGCGGCTAATCCGGAAATGCCACCGGAAGAGTATGCGCTGGATGAAAACGAGGAGCGTTCCATGATAGAGCCCAGATCACTGGAAGATTCTAAGCTGAAGGAGCTGATATTCGTTTTGATCGAATGGATCAACGATGAATTGGCGGACCAGCGTATTATCGTAAAAGATATCGCGGAAGATCTTTATGATGGGCAGGTATTACAGAAGCTTTTAGGTACGCTGAAGTTCTGAGACTTGAAACGATTATTTCGATCGTTTTACAAATAATAGGAACGATACAAAACGGATTTATCATGGGCAATTTTTAGAGAAATTGACGGGAGAGAAGTTGGATGTTCCCGAAGTTACTCAGTCCGAGGAAGGACAGAAACAGAAATTGGCAGTCGTTTTGTCGAGCGCCAATCGTGTATTGGGACGTTACCCGCCGTACAAATGGAGCGTAGAATCGGTTCATTCGAAAAACATTGTTGCTATTCTTCATCTACTGGTGGATCTGGCGAGGCAATTTCGCGCGCCGATCAGACTACCGGAAAGAGTTGCAGCGCAAGTTGTAGTTGTGCGTAAGACAGATGGTCAACTGATACATAGAACGATCAGGGAAGAAATTACATCGACGTACGATGATTTAGGAATGCGTTGCGAGCGCGATGCTTTTGACAAGCTTTTCGACGATGCGCCCGATAAGCTTGCTGTCGTTAAAAAGGTACGTCCGTCTCTTAAATTTCCGGCGGACCTATTCGAAAACCGATCGTACAGTTCACGTCGATTGTTTTTTTTCTCTTCTAGTCCCTGATTACTTTTGCCAACAAACACCTGAGCAAAGTGCACTTGGAAGTGACTGATTTGGATACACAATTTCACGATGGAGTTTTTTTAACCCTTTTACTTGGACTTCTCGAAGGATTTTTCGTGCCTCTCGGTAGTTTTCATTTGACTCCTAAAACGCACGATCAAAAGGTACACAATGTTTCGTTTGCTTTCGACATCATGCAAGATATCGCACTGCCGAAGCCGAAAGCCCGACCAGAGGGTATGTGTTCAGCACATGTATGCGTGTAATGTACTGTGACAGATACATATACATGTATCATACATATGTCCTTCGCATTAAACGTGAATTTCCTGTATTCACAGATATCGTAAACTTGGATCTAAAGTCAACGTTACGAGTATTGTACAACTTGTTCACCAGATACAAAAGCATGAACTGAAGCAGAGAATGACGTGATAAGAGGAATATACAAGCTTGAGGTTACAAAAAATGCCGAACTATTAACACTGTGATCATGGATCTTACTAAGGATACTAATCAAAGAGTATATTCAATGCTCGGATAAACGTCTCGTTAAGAATTTAAAAACTTTATACTTGCCTAATAAATTTGACACATGGACGAAATATATTGTTAATACGTTTAAAATGATGTATTCGATAGTTATTATTACCGCAGTATTCTCGTTTCTTTTCCAGACCTTTATATCGTTCGTATGTGTGCCGCCGCACCTCAATGGTGAGGATAAAGCCTTTTCTTTTTTGGGGGGGCCTCGTTGTTCTGATCGTTGGTTATCGAATTCAAGAGTTCGAAACTACGAGCACGAAACTGGGATCGACACCGTTCGATCGATTCGAACGACGGGGAATGGCGCGGCGGCGCACGAGATATCGCGATGCACTTGGAGATTTATCGTACACGTGCTTTACGTTACGACCGTGTAACGAATAGACGACGATGCATACCACGGAAACAAGGCGCGTTACCGGCTTTTCGGGAGGATCGACCTATCGTGCCCGGATGGATCTAGGCTGGCAGACGGTTGATCGCGATTCCAACGGAAGATGTCACCGGAACACGCGACGTTGCGACGCCAACGAGATTAGATCGTCTCCGTAGTGTTCCAAGCTCGCAACGGGAAGAAGGAAGACAGTTAGGCACGGAAAAAGAAATGGCCACCGGTACAACTCCCGCGAACGAGCATTAATCAGTTTCGTCTGTATTAAAAAAAGCTACGTTTTCGACGCACGATTTTATTTCCTATTTTACCATGTTTGGTAAGTCGATGTTCCGTTTATATTTCCTCGACATTCGGTTAATTAGCTTCGGTATTTTTTTCGCGTCGAGGTTGCTACACTCGCACGTTTCCGTAAACGTCGAGTCGGGAACAATTTAACGGGCATTACGAAACGAACGATCTGCTTGCACCAGAAACACCGTAAGCGCACTGAGATCTGAAAAAAATGTCAGAAATTCGATGCAACACCGCCGTGCGTTGTTCGGCTTTCGAACGAAACGGACGTCGTCGCACGTTCGGCGAATACGCCGCAATTCTGCGTACCGTTTTGGAAAGATGGATTTCGGTCCGTGGACAACTTCGGGAGGAAAAACTGAACGAAGAAGCGGAGGAATTGATTCTGCCGAGCAACGAGGATTGGCGACAACGCGTCTACTACAGATTGGTCGAGCTGCAACGAGAATGCGACGCGCAGTTCGGGACGAAAAGGTAATTTCTTCTTGTAACCTTCGAAGGATCAGCGAATATTTCGATGCACGTGCGTTGGTTGCTTGAAATTGGCCGCCCGCCAATCTGTATTCGGTGCGGCGATTGTATCGGTATCGAAAGCGCCGGCCGGTAAATGTATTCACGGGACTCCTCATTTCGGAATTGTCAAATCGAGGGAAAAATCAGCGAGTCGGTTTGTTTTGTGGTTCCGATCGATCCCACTATCCATAATAGGCATACGTTCAAAGCGACGTAACCTTCTTCCCGTTGCACGTTTAAAGTAATACATACTTCGTTCAGTCCTTGGTTGGTCGTTGGCGGTTGAAATTTTAACACGTTACGTTACGTTTCGTATGACCATCGGAATGATTCGTAAGACATCATTGCGCGGTTGTAAATAACGATGGGGTGAGTAAAAGATTGCTTGGATTGCGTACGATTCAAACGGAAAAAGTGGTGAATTAACAAAGAAGCGTAAATTAACAAACGATTAAAGGGTTGGCGAAACCGAATCGAGTTTGGATTACGAGGAGCCGAAGGAGACGGATAGAGATGGTAAATCAAAAGCGGCAGAAAAGTCTTGGGAATGGGAACCACGAATCCACGGATCGTCCTTATTGGACATCAAGCGAGGAAGTCGAAGAAACGGGAACGAATCGAGAATGTCGAGAACGAGCGTCGTCGGTTCGATGACGGAAGCTCGCGTGGAGCCAGGATGGCGCGTGAACGACATCCTCTTGGCCGCTGAGGTTCTTCGAAGGGATTCCTCTCCCACGTACTCCGACGAAGCTGAAATGCGTCGAGTGTTCGGGCTCGTTTATGACGTGCTTCGGTGTAAGTTGTCGTCCTGCACAAATTACAGTGGACTCTAGATATATTGCCGCCGCCCTGGAATTGTAGAAGAATAAAATTGCTAGCTGCAATATATCAAGAGACTCCACTGTAGAACCTTCTCGTGTTTTGAATTCTTCCTTGATCGGTTTGTTCTCTCAAAGACAAAAGGATTTTTGGTCGCGCTTTGGACGAAGTGGGGTTCTGGCTGCGTAACAGCAAGTTGGTGGATCGACGGAAGATCGTCTGGTTGTTGCTGTACGACATGCAAGGGAGAAAGTTCGCGAGTCGCGGCGAGATCGCCGATGTCATGGAACGCGAGATACTTTTTCAGGTAAAAATCTAATGAACGGTCGAGGAAAGACACATTTGTATATGGTTCCCAAGGAATGGATTTTCTTCTTCTTTCCCGTTTCAATTACGTTTCCGTTTGATTTTTTTTTCAACGATTGACGGGGCATCGTCGTACAGGCTGCCGGATTGATGGACATCGAGAAGGCTCTATTGGAGGCGAAAACGCATCTCGCCGCGAGCATCTCGCGACTACGTATCCGTGGCTCGGCTCTCAGTCTCGGTGAATAGAAAATTTCACGGGAGCGATCTCGATAGGAGATAAGTAGAGAGAAAAGGTAGTAGCGCCAGGGGTCGAGAGTATAGCGGTGTAGAATAATTGCGTGAATGTCTGTTACGATAGTCTATCGCGTATACAGTACCGGACAAAAAACTTACCACTCTTTCGATGTTTTATTTTTACTATTTTTTAACGTCAACCTAAATCTTTAGTATGTATCTAGTATACAGGGTAATACAAAAAAAGCGTTCATTACTTCTAGGGTAATAGTACAAGCCAAATGATGAAAAATGTCCCAATAAACATAGGTTAACAAATGTATATTTTCAGAGGTTTAAATATATACCACCATTTGACAAGTACTATCTACCCCGAAAGTTTTGAGCACTTTTTTTGTATCACCTTGAATACTAGATACATGCTAAAGATTTAGGTTGACGTTAAAAAATAATAAAAATAAAACATATCGAAAAGGTGGTAACTTTTTTGTCTGCTCCTGTACTATAAGTACGCGTGAGATAATCTGTAATGCTCCGAAAAAACGGGGTTGCAAAGACGAGCTGTTGCCGTCACGGTTGCGGGTCATCGAAGGGGTCGCTTGGGGCGAGGAGGCCGAGACTGGAGCAGTCGCTTCCGGATGGGTGAACGGAAACAAGTTCGCAAACAAACAAGAATTTCACGAGGAGATGTCCAAGCTGAAGTTGGTCTTCTGCGAGGACGAGGACGGGGCCACGGATCTGGTCGACGAGACCGGTTACGCGTTCGATTCGATTTGCCCGAAGATCGTGAATCTGCACGAGGAAGCGCGCGAAACATTGGCTCTTTCTGCTTTGGTGCGGGATCATCGGTTTGTGTTTTTGGTGGGTATAGACGGTGTCGAGCCGTAAAACGGTTCACGATACAATTGGACACAGGACTGAATGTTATTTTTTTTCTTCGTTAACGATGCAGGATAGATCGCTGTGTCTGGGCGCGGCCGCATTGGTCCGAGCGATTCGAGTCGGTCGTTTCTGCGGTCCAGTGGTGCTGACGCACGCTCTAGCGCCTCGCCACACTGGCTATTTAGCGGAACTGCTAAAGGATTGCGAAGACGCCGGGAGACTGTTGGCATTTGGAGCTGGTGAACGCCGTCTGGAGTACGAAACGTATTCGCTTTCCCTGTCTGTCTCTAAAAGATTTTGTACCGATTAGGTATGTAGCGCATCCAGTCACGGCCGAATCGGAGAGGGCCACTGTAGTTCTGGCGATCCCGCCGTGCAGTTACACAGGCGTACGAGACATCGTCGACCTGGCCGTGGCACGTGGCGGAGACATGGATCTCCTCGAATGGCTGACAGACGCTTGCGTCGTAGATGGCGATCACGAGGATCGGGTGATCGAGCGTACGCGAACATTATTGGTCGATCAGATGTCCACTCTGAAGTACGCGTTAACCAGACCGAACGTTCAGTTTGTTATATACGAAGCACACACGGTTCTACCATCGGAGACGACGGAAATGATACAACGGGTGGTCGATTACGCGAATCGAATGGCCGTAGCGAGGCACGTTCGCGATCATCCAGTAAGATTCTTTCTGTTCCCTTCTTCTGTGTACACTCCTCGTTTTATTTCCCCTCTGTCACGGTTGTTTTCCAGTCGAAGAAAAAGCTGGCGAAAGAAGAAGGGGAGCTCCGCGAGTCGGACGAGACTAGAGCAGACGATCGGACCTCGATGATCTCGGTAAAGAAATCGAAAGAGCCGTATTGCTCTCTGCTGCATTTCTTCTCGAAATTCTCAATAATATCCGAATCGATACCATAAGTTTCTCTCGATACCGAAGGTTCCAGATAGCGACCTGTTCGAGGTGGGCACCATCAATGAGCTTTACGGGGAGGACGTCAACTGCGCCGTCGACCCGGGATGCTTTCTCGCGGTGATCAGACGAAAGGAGATGATGCAATTCGACTCATTGTTTATGATCAAAGTGGCCGAATCGAGGGGATTGTTCGGCAATCCAAATGACCGCCGTGAACGAAAACGTGAACCGCTGCCGTTGGATCGTGCGTCCGGACCACCATTGCCGACCAATCCCCGCAAACGAACGAAACGATTCGAGAAGGTAGTAGCGGCGACATGTTGCGTTTCTGTACACAGTTCCTTAGCTTCGCTTGTCCAGGCTGTATTGCGTACACCGTTACCGTACGGCGACCCGTATACCGTTTTGCTGTCTTGTTCCCGACAGATCGAAATGGAACGGATAATGGCGCACACGCACTCTTCACTGACTAGAACCATGAACGAGAATCCAGTCTGCCCGCGGCATCGAGCCTTTGAGGAGAAGAACCAGTCCCGGGTACGGAAAACAAGGGTGAACGGTCGCTGTTGTTGCACGAAGAACGCAGCCACGCTCGTAAACGTATCCCTCGACGATACATCGTCGACCGAATGATCGAACAACCGACTAGACTTTTCGGTTTTATATCGCGCTAGAGTTCCGCGTATGTGAAAATGTTCACGTGGTGCACTCGGTTAACCCTTTCGCGATGGTGGAACTGGTGATTAGTATACCACCGCTGAACGAGACGTTATTCAATAGTGTACACCGTCTGGAGAGACAGTGTACACCAGTCATTTTATTTACGTCGGCTATAGCCAACATTAGCCTCTGTGGATCACTTCCTAGATGCTAGCTATAACTGACGTTAAAAGTCCCATAGACGATTCTACATATTTGTCGCACAACTGATCGTAAAAAAGCGACATTTGTAGACAATACGGCAGGATAAAAGTCTGTCTTCCTAACCGTCAAGTCCAACTCTCTGTGCAACTTGTCGTACGACAAATCGTATCGTCTATGGGAGCTTTTAGGAGAGAAAGTGTTGAAGAACGGTCGACGTGACGACAACCGCCGGAACGTAACGCGTTCATATCCCTGTAGCCCATTCACGTGTGCTGTCAAGGATCACGAAGATTCACCGGCGAGCAGGGTACGAGCGAGCAACGGTGTCAGGCGCGAGAGGTAGCGAATCCACGCGGTGCATACGTTCGTAACGAAGCATCGCAGAAAAAGGCAGGTATAGTGCCTGTGATCGGAATTCACGCGATCGTTCTCTACTCGCTGGTTTACGTTCAAGCAGGAGTTGCGGGCAATTTATTCGTTGTACTCGTCGAGCGTCGTTTCCACGGCACGCTCGGAACCGAACACACGTGGACGACACCGAGGAGCGTCAGAACCGGCAGAAATTGCTTCGCGATCCGTGTTACTTGGTTTACCGAGGATCTTTCGATCTGTATCACGACGGTAATCTTTTTGATTTCGTTACGAATCGTTCGTTCACCGATTCGACCCCTTATACCTTGGCGTCCGTCCTCCATGTATAGCGAACAGAGACGAACCGCGGTATCGCAGACGGTACTGAGGTCGCCGATTCTGGCCAGAGCGCTACAACCGATTCCGTTGGAGAGCGACGTCGAGGATCGCGACGACACGAGTGGTCTGGAAAGTCACTAAGACTTTGTTCTTCCCCGTCCATCCGAGTCGATCGATGTTGGAATCCAGTTCTGTGGAAGCTGGCACGCGTCGTACGATTTCTGCGTGATCACGATGATAACTTACCCATGCAATACGATATCCGTATAACAAATACAGAAACAAATCTAAAGCATGACTTTATTTAACTAGTTTTTAGATATTAATTGTTCATCGCTTGTACAGTGTCGTACAGACACGAGGAAATCGTGGAGAAAACAGCGATTTCCAAGCTGTTTCGAAGAATGGAAGGCGATTGAAAAGCGTATGATTAACATTTCTAAAAATAATTGTCCGAGTCCATTCAAAAATGAAAAATGAAAAATGTGCATTTGGCGCTTTAACAGCAGGTTTACCGACGACGAACGTATATCTATTTCTGTTGGATCGATAATCATAACTAGACCACGGAAGTTTATGTTAATTCACATTTTTAGATGTTAGTATCTAAACACAAAAATGGGAATGAATTTTGTATTTCATCTTAGAGGCTTTACTACGGTAATAATAACACATAGATAGTATTAAAGTGCATTAAAATCTTCATCTTTTTGCAAACATCCGCATCCTAATCATAACAATCTTTTGAAAATAATCGAATTTATAAATCAATTAATTTCTTCTTTTTATTTTTAATATATTTTTTTTTTTTATAAGAGTGTACCAACCAGTCATTAAAATGCCAAATTTTCGCTTGCTCGCTGCGTTTCGACACCGAAACATTGAGATTGATATCGTGATCCCGCGATCAAAAAGCCTGTATCGTAGCTAGGTTCGCGTGACGGGCGACAGATGATACTTTCGCGTCAATCGACACGAGACGTGCACTAGAATCGCATTGGGATTCCGAATATTTTATGAATTTGCATTTGGAAACGGAGCAGTCTTGTAGAAAATCGGACCAGGAGGCCATTCGACGAGCGTAAAGACGGGCGGTTTCCGATCGATCATGTACCAGATCGAGGTATCTACACGATAATGCATCATTCGCGACTGTTACGAGGTTGCCCGGACTTTCGGCGTCTCTTCTTGGCCCGTTACAGCGGAACGACCAAGGAAATGACTGTCAAAACCGTAAGCTCCATCTTTACCAAATTATTCATGCGCTACCGGTAAGAGGACAAACGTTGGATCCTCAGGAACGGTTCACCCCACTCAAAGTATCACCAAAAAAAAAAAAGAACTTTACCAAATTCTGTTCGTAAAAGTTGCAAGAATCCTTGCGATTCTATCGTTTAGAAGTACGAACTGTATCGATTGGAAGAAGGACCGGCGACGAGCGTGAAGATGACCGATGAGGACGCCACGTACGCGCTTAGAACGATGAACTACATCAGACGGATGGAGAATAAGGCTGCGGAATTGTACAAAACACGGCTGATCAACGGTTTTCTTCATTTGTACTCCGGCCAGGTAGATGATCGATCATATCGATATCAGGCACGAGCTGAGAAAATTGGGGTTGAACGAACGGAATAGAAATGCATGGCTTGGAAATTGTTTACAGGAGGCTGTCGCCGTGGGATTGAAGATGTCGATCAAGGAGATCGATAGCTTGATAACGGCCTACCGGTGCCATGGATTCGCGGTGGTGTTCGGTGTCTCGGCGCGACAGGTTCTTGCGGAGCTGATGGGTCGAAAGACCGGGATCTCGAAAGGAAAGGGCGGTTCCATGCACATGTACGCGACGCAGTTCTACGGTGGCGATGGCATCGTCGGCGGCCAGGTAGGGGATATGTTGGGTTTTGCGAGATGAACTGAATCAGCGTTACCAGATTTTTTGTAAGACTTCTTAAATCGGTCACCCTGTATGAATTCAAAATCACCTAATTTGCGACTTCTTCGAAGAAATTCATCGCAATTTTAGTAGATACAGACTCCTCTTGATTATTCTCCCGAACTTGAGTCCGCGCCAGGATAATCTTATAGGGAGAAATGCTTCAGACCTTTGTGAATTCGTTTTTTGCCTCGGTAACAAAGTATGCGTTCAACAGGTTCCCCACCCCATCCTGTGGTGGGGATAACGGCTGGACAATAATCATGTAGAATATGCCAGACAATAATCGAGAGGAGTCTGTAAATCGCTCGAATTGCGATAAACACGGAATCTGGCAACACAATGGCACTGACTTCGTCGAAACGAGATGAGATCGCGAAAATATGTTAATCGGGTATGAACACGCGACAGGTACCGATCGGTGCTGGTTTGGCGTTCGCTCATAAGTACAATGGGACTGGAGGAGTCGCGTGGGCGCTGTACGGTGACGGAGCGGCGTCGCAGGGTCAGATCTACGAAACGTACAATATGTCGAAACTGTGGAATTTACCGGTAGTGTTCATCTGCGAGAACAACCTGTTCGGAATGGGGACGGCGGTGCACAGACATTCGGCGAACACAGCCTTTTACACGCGGGGCGATCTAATCCCGGGCATCAAGGTGAATTTTCACCGCGTCGTTTCACTTGGAGTCGCGACTATAGATTATCTTATTGACATTTAACGATATATCGGTAATATCGTTAAGGCGAATAGAAAGGACTGAGGTAGATTGCAACGCATTCATCGTAACAAAACTATTTAATATTTACTTCTACTAGAACTTATTATGGACAACATTCTAGGTTCTCGAAACTACAACATTTAAAAATATTTATATAGTACAAATTCATTCGGACAGAAGAACAAGGTTATTGGAAAAATACTGATATGTTGCCTGCAATAAGTTCAAATAGAAATAAATCGATTTTTAATGATTTTATTACAATTAATCCATTGCCTAAATAGCAAATATTTTAGGTCTAAGGCGCCTTCAAGCCGTCTTCAAGGTGTCATTGGGCGTCATGTGATATCTGGGTGCATTCTACCTCAATCATTTGTATTCGACTTAACTACATTTTCACGATATTATCGACATTCATCCATAACTTCATCGATATTAGCCACTCCCACGATCGACACTCCCATTTTTCCACCACATTTTCGAAATCATTTCAGGTCGACGGGATGAGCGTGCCCGATGTGCGGGAGGCAGTCCGGTTCGCCAGGGATCACGCTCTTCGAAACGGTCCGATCATTTTAGAAATGGTCACGTATCGGTACTTCGGGCACAGCATGAGCGATCCAGGAACCTCCTATCGTACGAGAGACGAGACGAAGCAGGTGCAGACGGAGCAAGATCCTATCACCACCCTCGCTAAGCTTGTAGTGAAAAACGGGCTAAAAACTGAAAAAGAGGTCGAGGCAAGCCAAGTGGCCCCCCGTTATTGATTTATCCCTTAATTCAATGATTTAGCTTTCAAGCATGGTTTTCCTTTACCATGTTTAAATTTTACTATTCTTGAGTAGGAAATACGAACCGCCACCTGGAAGGAAGTGGACAAGGAACTGGAAGAGGCTAAAGCGGATCCGTTTCCGGAAATGTCAGAAATTGGAACGAACGTACACACGGATTCAGCGGTGAAGGCACGAGGCAAAGTTCCTTGGCAGACTCATTAAAAACGAAACCAAAAGTCTGTTCGATTGCGGAACAACGCATTACCATTTTACGCGAAAAAATTCTACTCTTCTGCCATCGATACCGGTAATATTGTACAATGATACATTGACAAGGACAACGTTCTAACTTCTTGAGGTCGATTCGATGAATAAATATCACTTTGCAGTTCTAGCTGGTCCCTCTCGTTTCGAAATCCGTGTACAGGTAACCCCCGTATAACACGATAGTTAGAGGTTTCTGAAGGAAACATCATCGTGTTATTCGGGAGTTACCCGATTCTTTAACTGTGTTAACCCTTGTGAAAGCAACCGAAATATTCACGGTTATTAAACAATCGGAACACTCTTATTCTGACAGATTAGATGAACATAGATAATTTTACTCGTAGTTTTTCCTTCCCATAAACTACCAAATGCTGTTTTACACAAGAACATAAAAAATTGTGAAAGGAAATTTAGAAATGGGTACCTGGTTGCCTACATATGGGTTAAGAATGAAACCGTGATATAGGGGGGTTGCGTTCGGTCATAATCACCGCGAATCTCGTCCACGGATTCCTCCTCCCAGCGAGCACAACAGCCCGTGGAATGCGAGCTTGGCTGTTTGTTTCTCGTTCGCGGCTCGTACCACACATCGTCAATTGGAATGATCAATTAAAACGTCGCGTTCGACCGACAAGAACACGAGAGGAACAAGGAGGATGGCTCGCGTCGCGAACGACGAACGAAGACGGATGATGGAGGGTGCGGTGGAGAACGGACGGGGACGTGTGTGAGTCAGTCCGTTCGTTAAACCGATGGAAAAGAAGGCGAGAGACGTTTCGACTCTTGAGGAGGAGAAGCGACGGCGACAGTCTTTGCGGGAGTCGGCCGAGAGACTCGCCTTCCGTTGCTCCCACGTACGACATTGCTCGTTGAATTTTAACGAGATAACATCGTGTTGTGCGCGTCGATAAACATCGAGAAAAAATCGTGGAGAACCGATTGCACAACGATTTTCGCGATCCACGAACCTTCCGGGTTTAAAATCGAAGAAAAATTAATGGTCACAAAGCGTGGATCGTTTATTATTGCCTGGTCGTTTTAGTCACCCGTAGTCGACCGTGTCACGAATTGTAAATAACTAAATGATACTTGGAGTATCAGAGTGTAGCATCAGACTCTTGTGCGTTGATGTAGTGCGATTCCTTCGAACGATTTTTGAGCCGACACTGCCGCGATTCTATAAATGATTGTAGTGCTTATTTTATGCATTAGTTCACGCGATGATTTATAAAATACTTTCTTATCGTAAGCGTATCTATCGCCGCATCCGGCGGAGTTGTAGCGCAGGAAACAAAAGTTTGTAGTGACAGCAACTGACGTGCGGTCTCGCATTTTATCGCCGCAACGTACAGGATCGGGGAAATTTCACGGGGAAAAACCCACTCTTCGAGTTCTCGACGGGTCGTGGTGATCGATTATTATACCCGAACGGATCGATCGAGAAAACGGCAACAATGGGGCTCGACCACGAGCTCAACGGAATTCTTCGAGGTAAGTGTGTACTCGATCCGTCCTCTTTTAATTTTCTCTGTTTTTTCTTCGGCGTGTTCTCGGTTATTGCGCACCGACAGCCCTCTTACAGCGAAGCTGACTTAATTTTAATAAAAATTGTGCCGAATGGGACTTGTTGAAGCGAGAATAGAGGTGTTATAGTCTGAAGAGCATAAGTATTCTAGTATGTAGGGTGTAGAATTTTGTAAAAAAAAAAACGAAATTGTTGGACGAGTTCGTTGCTCGTGAATTTTGGTTTCTATGGGATTCACGCGATTTCAGAATGCGTATGTTTTGCAGAACTGGTGCAGTTTCTGGAATGCCTGCGAGAAGTGAAGCTTCCGGTCGCTCTGGAGAGTATACGGGACAATCTGCTGACACGTTCGAAGGACACTCTGACGATGTTCATGGTCGAGAGAACCGGAAGACCGACTTCCCCGGAGCCGTACTTGAATATGAGCCCAGTTGCGCCGAAGGGTCTGGTAACGGTGTCGAGGATGGACGGCGAGCTACAGGAGTACGTGGGAGTGGAAGAACAGCCGAGGCAGAAACAGCAACAGGATTATTACGAGAGCTTCCAAACGGTCGAGTCGAATCACGCCGCGTCCGTGACCACGACAACCGCAGCGAACACGAAGGAACATCGTCGGAACAAAAGCGAGGAGATCGAGAACGCCCTGATGGAGATATACTCGAGTTTCCCAGCGGTCGAGGCAAGAGATAAATCACAAAAGTGCGGACCGCTGTTCCGCAAAGAAGGAAAGAAGCTGTTCGTTTTCGAGCAGTATCGGTCATGTTGGGTCGGTGAGTGGAAAGTTATTATAGAATGTGTCACGTAACTGGTGGTAAAAATTGGGTAGGGGTGATTCTATGTGAAACAGTAAGTTGAAAATATAGAATAGAATTTTGTTCTTGTAATTTCCTCAATGTGTCGCCCAGGTCTGGTTGGAACGCATTTACTGATCTACGGGAACGATCGTGAGAACAGACCGTGCACAGTGCTACCGATCCGCGGTTACATGGCTCGGGCCGCGCCGAACGTTTTTCCCCGTGATCAACGAAGAAGCGCGTCCGCCTTCGAAATGTTTCGTCCCGGCAACAGGACATTTCAGGTGAAAAATCCTGGAAACGAATGAAATATAGATAAAATAAACGGTCGTAGTTGCGCGTAAAGCATGGGATTTTCGTAACGTCGATCAAGGTTGTTTCAGTTCGTTGCGAGAACACCGAAGGACATGGAACAGTGGGTGGCGAAAATATGCGACTTGAACCAGGGAAACGAGACCACGGAATACCCGAAGGACACGATCATCGCACCGCTGGAAAGTAACGCACCAGAAGTGGACTCTGTTACGGACACGAATTACAGCGAGGAACAATATCAGGACGTTGGATGCACGAGTGTCGATAAATCGTTATCGGAGGATCAGTCGGTAACTTCGAGCGTTATCAATAACGACAGAGAAGCGATCGAGTCTTCGTCGAAGAGCGCGAATCTCGAACCCCCGAATCCTTCTCAGGCTCCTACCCTTTCGCCAACAGTTCCTGGCCCTGCTCCACGGCTACCCGCCCGGATCCCGCGAAGATTACCGTCTTTACCTGTTCGCGGTTCCGGAACCTCATCCTCTTACGAATTTCCGGAGGAAGAGGAGGACGATATCTATCATAAGATCGAGGATTTCCGAGACACGACGCATTGTTACGGGAACGTAGTCGTTGGTAAAGGTAAAACATTTAAAACCAGAGTCGACGATGTTCGCGAGGACGAACTTCCAACCTACGACGACGTTTCCGCCAATACCAAAGACCAGAATACCGCGTCTGACGAAAAATTAAAGAAAAACGTCGAAGCTGTTGCCGAACGATCGGTCGGAAAGCAAAATTCGCGAGGCAAGGCATCTCACGATACCACCGGTTCCTCGATCACCGCGACGAGAAGCACCGATGTGAACTGCGTCGACGAACGAACCGCATGTGTCTCTTACGACAACGTCGAGGTAACCTAACTTCTCAACCCTGATCCCCATTCCGCTTATCTCGCTGTTTAAGAACTATTCAAACTAATATATTTTTTTTTGTACCCGTAGAGTCTAGTCTCGAGCCCGAAATCAAACAAAAATCGACGGTCCGAGAAAACGGGTGAACCGACAAAGTCGCCGCAAAAGAAATCCTTTCTGGACCGAGTGAGAAGCAGAAAGGAATCTCCGCGGAAAACTGACAAGCACGCGAAGGGTAAAATTCTGACGCCACCTGCCCCCGACGTCCAAGAATTACCCACCTACGAGGATGTGTTCGGTTTGACGAATACTCGACAAGTTAAGCGAAATCCAAGTTCGGAAGAGGACGAATCAGAGTACACCTGCCCGCCTCCTCCTAGACCGATTTACGGGAAACCACCCACGATTGTTGACGCGACCGACCAACAAGAATTTTACGATGACGTTACTAGCTGCCGACAAAATTACAGAGAAGAAGTACGTCAGATTAATCATCAGGTAATAAAAGTACTCCCTTCAGTCTTTCTTCGTTAGGTCCATGCATCATTCTACGAACTTTAATTTTCAGCGAATCACCACGAAACTGAACTACACTCGCGAACTTGCTCGATCGAATCACGACGAGTCCGTACCATGCGAGAACGTCGATCGACCGGTATCCCAATTATCGTTCGATGAGAATGAACACTACAAAATACCACGCGGCAAATCGAATCATCGTCAGTACCCTGTCGATCAACAGGAAGAATTGTACGACGATATTGCTATACTCGCAGAGTTTACAGCACGACAAAAAGAATCTCTCGGTAAGAAGGAGGGCGAGGAAACTACCAGGATATATGCTAACGTAGAGAAAAGATCTTGGAACCGTTTTGTCAACGGCAAGAAGTTGAAACCAGTCGACACCGTCGCGGGACCTGAAGCGAATCGTCGAAACTCGATCGAGGCTGAAAATACGGACGAGCTCGCCGCGACGAGAATGAATACTTTCCAGAAATTGATTAGCAAAATGGAGAACTCTCTTAGCAAGACTTCCGTTAAGGCGACACCAACGATGCTACCGAATAAGCTGAATCTCATCAACGACGCCTAATATCGTAGGAAACGATTAAATGTTGAACACGACGACAAGTACAAGTTTCCTATATCATCTGACCTCTATGAATAAGGGAAAACATATGCAGACCAAAGATACAAAAGATGCAACGAAACCACACGCGAACACAAGTGGATGTCTTGTCACGAAGCTTTCTATTGCACGATAAAGCGCTTTCATGTTTGTAATAATTTTTTATTTCGCAAAATAAAAAACAATTCCTGATTTGTATAATTCCTACGTGTAATGCGCGTTTAACATATTCATCCCCGTCTTACATGCTCAAGGAACTTGAGAAACCGTTCGATTTCGTATATTCATAAAATGTCTATTCACTCGATGGTTCGCTGGAATTCTCTCGGAATCCAGTTTCGTAGGCGTGGTACAAGTCATTGTATACGTTTTTAGTCCACGTACTTACGAGCAACACGGAGGACCGGAATATATCCATACTGTGCCTCTGGAATGCCTTCAGTGGTACACCCGTGTTCCTCTCTACGTAATTCACAAATGTGTCGCATTGCTCCGAATAGATTGAAAGAATTACCATCAGTAGAACGCCAATGATGAAACCAAGAAAGAAAAGCCATGCAATCTTGGACACGATATACCTGAAAAAGTTACCTAAAAACCGCAACAAACACGTTTAAATTGACACGATGACGAGATGTAGGGATGGACAGGCTAGCAACGCATTTACCTTTCGTCAACGCACGTTTTTCGCCGGTGGTCCGATGATTCTGTACATTCGCTGAAATTTCCACGGTATCCCTTTCTACTTGCGGTTCGTCGCTTGGTGATATCGGTTCACTTTTCTCTAAATTCTCTTTACTGTCTTTCCCGGTCGTCTTCTTCTTCTTCTTTTTTCCCGCTTTCTTCGGTAACAAATTGTCCGTCGCTGCGTCTATGATAAATGATAAAGGTTATCGACACGTACAGAGCGTGGCATGCATTTAGAAGACGTTCACATTTCGTTCGTAACTATTATTCGAGACAGTGTTTAATCGGCGCAATTTTTCTTCTTCAACAGTGAGCTTTATAAGTGACAAATGCGCAACGATGTTGCGGGCGCAAGCTTGACATTCACTCAAATTACTGCAAGGACCGGCCACACTGGCTACCGCTGGGGCTAAAGGATTTTCCTTTAAATCTAACCACCGTAAGTTCTTCAATTCGCTGAAGCTAAGCGGTAGTCTGCTTATCTGCAACATAATTGTCCTTCTTGTACCAGTTCTCTTACTCGTTCTAAATCGATCTCACCTGATTCGCGTATAGATCTAAATGCCTCAACTGTTTTAATTCGCCGAAATTCTCAGGAATTTCTGTTAACATGTTTCTACTGAGATCCAACTTAATTATTTGCTTGAGACTGACAAAAGTGCTCTGAAAAAGATCAAAGCTATGAAATTTTCGAAACTATAGTCAGGGACGAAAAGATAACACACTTTGAGAATCATTTACTTTCTATTTCTTAAACAGTACAAATTAAATTCTTTATATTGCAAGGATATTGATAAAACTAGAACTAGAATCAAGAATAACAAAATTGCATTCTAGGCTTCGTTTCCCAGTTAAGAATTGTTGAAAATATGAGTGATTATTTTAGAATGGCCGACAATTTGTACACATCAGTGGATTAAAACAATGTATTCAACACAAGGTGAGCACAATTGTAACAAAAGAATGTTAAAAAGCTCTACAAGTCTTCGCCAGACAAATTGATTGCAGTCATGTAAATGTAAAGCAGATTCTGCAAAGTATTAAACGCTGAATATAATTACTTAATTCGTTTATATCTTCAATTTTTGAACAATATGTTATCTTTTCGTTTCTGACAGTACCATGCAACTAGAAACATTTTCAGAGAACACTCACAGGCAACGAAACTAATAGATTATTTGATAAATCCAAATGCGTCGCTTTCATGACAGTTTCCTGAAAAATGACAATCTAATAATTATCTGATACAATGTGTGATTACATATATACACATTCCATTGTAGAAATATCAACTGAATTTACGTACGATTTCTTTGACAGGCACTTCTTTTAGGTCGCATAAACTAAGATCCAACGTATCATCTTTCAGTTTATTCTTAAGGCTCTTTAAATTCATTTTAAGAACGTAGATGCGTTTAAAATCAAACGAGTAAAATCATAAAATATGGAAGCCTTTTTTGGCGTTTCTGATAGATTTTTCGTGGCGTCACTTTCGACAAAAGCAATCGAAGAAACGCGATACTAGCCGGAGATACGATAGAATATATTTTTATCTTGATATATTCAAACTGCACAAAATTTCATTCTCCGGTCAATGAGAAAGATTTGACAGTCACCGAATACACGTGGCTCATCGACAAGATCGACACGCTGGACTCTTAAACCACAAAGTACGCCGTCTTCGATAAAACATATCTATCCGACTGGCGGCGACTGGCACAGGCAATTTTAAAATTTATCAATTGAACAACTGCAGAAATTGTCGAACAGGTGGCAGAATTTGCACTCTACCGTGGTTAAACTGAACGCAAGTAGTGTAACGCGAACAAAATTTGTAAATACGTCGTACACTAGTATGACGATCAACAATAGGTTGAACATCTATGTTATTATAGGAATCGTGTTCGTTTCGCTCGGTTTCGTTATTCGCGTAAGAAAATTGACAAGTGGCAAAAAGTTTTCGTTTCAACGAGAATTCGAGAAAATTGGAACAAGTCACTCGCTGATCGAGTCTTGCCATTTCGAAATTGAACGTGCAGTTTATTACGTGTTAAAATGTCCACACGGTATATGAAAAAAGTGTACGGAGGTGATGTATTACCCGAGAAAGATAGTGAAAATGAGAGTGATGCAGAAAATTCGATAATTCACGACGTTAAGTCTAAGACGTTCAACGTATTCGATGTAGTACGTTCTTAATTTTTTTTAACTATGTCACCTGCTTCTCTGCAGGTCTTCGATACAATTTGCCAGCTTTTATGCAATAACTTGAAACTCGACTTCCTAACTATTAAACGTTATGATGTATTATGTTCCATACGTTCTACTAAGTTATTTATATTTTTTTAGTTAGATCAGAATTCTGAAACTGATGAGAAAGAAAACGAAGAACAAGATATTGAAGAGATTTCTAAGGACGAAATTAAACGTAAAAAACGAAAGAAAAGACGAAAGAAGATAGATGGTCAAAAGAATCAGCAAACGATTGAATCTGTACAGACAGAAGATACAGATGAAATTGAAAGAAGTATAAGGGAAGTAAACGAATTACTCGGAGAACCACTTCCAGGTTGTAGTTCTCAAAATACAAATGATACGCAATGGATAGACGAAAAGTGTAAAGAGAATACCTTGCTGGTGCAGTTTAAACACTTAAACCCTTATAATGAACTTAAAAGAATTTTTGGTAGTAAAACGGTACAAGCTCAACAAAAGTATGTATTTCAAAGTTTACTTTATATACAAACACGAGATAACTGTAATCTGAAAATTTATTAAAATTTTGTAAGTTCCTTTTGGTTCTTCAGAGTGAAAATACCTTTTAAAGGTTAATGTGTGTCAGTTCTTCCTTTATTTTAATCGTTTTATTTCACTATTTAATAAAGCACAAACAGTCATTAAACTTTAATTCTAAACATTTTTAAATATCTGCTATAGTTTTTAAGATGTACAGGCAAGCACACATGAACCTTTAAGGGGTATTTTTATCCTGAAGAACTAAAAAGTAGCAAAAAAATGACCAGTACTTCTATCGAGGTACCTTACAAACCTGTAAAGATTTTTCAAAAATTGTAATTTTTAAGTTACCGAAGTTCTCTTGCTAGTAACCATAATTGAATTAAATGTAGCATGAACTTAATTTTAATAGTAACAGAAGGAATAGGGCCCGTTCTGGTCACCTGAGGAAAACCTGGCTAGTTTCATCCAGAGACAATTGGCCACCAATCAATCAGTCTGGTCTTTCAATGTCTTTCGATCACACTGTAAAATATACTAACAAAGTTCAATACTTTGTGTATGATCATAGTCCTACGTACAGACAAGTTCAGTTAAAATTCTTGGAAGCTGTTGAAAGCTTGAACCCTCAAAATATTGTTGTAAGTTATGTCTTCTTTAAAAGATCACAAAACAAATTCATCTAGAGAAGTTTAATGAGACTTTGAGTATAAAATTTATTTAATATGTTTCAGAACATAATAAACACACATTCTTATCATGTAGATGCATTATTACAACTAGCAGAGCTCTGTCAACTGAACGAGGATTTAGCAATGGCTGCCGAATTTACTGAACGAGCGTTATATTGTCTAGAATGTGCGTTTCACCCATTGTTTAATATTACAACTGGTCTCTGTAGGCTAGACTATAAAAAACAACAAAATCGTTCATTGTTCATAACTCTATTCAAGCATCTGAATTTTGTTGGTGGACGTGCATGCTATAGGTAAGAGTTGAAAGTTCATCTTTCCTGTATCTTTCTTTTCAAATGTCATACGAAGCTTTCGTATTTCAGAACAAGTTTGGAGTTTTGTAAAGTACTTTTATCACTTGATCCAGAAGGTGATCCATTAGCGGTGATTCTCTGTCTGGACTTCTATGCTTTAAGAGCTAAAGAATATGAATGGTTTATAAATTTTTGCAACTTTTGGGATGCCACAAGAAACGTGACACAACTGCCAAATATAGCATATAGCTTAGCATTAGCCCATTTCTATTTAGGTGATCAATCATATGCCAGTGAACTTTTACAAAAAGCTTTAATAATGTTTCCGGGTGTATTGATGCTTTTGCTGGACAAATGCAGTATACAGACTGATGAAGAGGTATTTTAATGATACGTTTGCGATGTTATTTTTCGCCAATAAATTCTCGTTCGATAAAAATATCAAGGTCAATTACTAAAAGATATGATCCTGTTAGGTACGAAACCACGAATTTTTTAACAGTAAGGTAAATGGGTCTACAACACCTGCCCTAGAGAAATTGCAAAATCTATATGCTGCGCGTAGTTTCCGTTTATGGAAAGAAGCAGATCTTTTACCATGGTTACGTGAAAACGTGTACACTGTATTACATCGAGTCGACGCTGAAGATGATTATGTAAAATATTGCGAAACAAAGCGAAGCAAGCGCTATCAAGGAAAATTGCCAAAGAATATTCTGAGACATATTATATTGTCCGACATAAAAGATGTTACTGTGAATGTTCAGGAGGTATACGAAGTTTTGTAAAATACTTCTATATGATGAGTACTTCTATTTCACTCTTATACGTTTCTATAACTTCCATAGGTACAAACTGATGGGTCGGTGCTTTCACATGATCCTCTTCCACCGATGGATAGTATCGATATTTATAAGAGACCTGCACCAAATACAGGATCAACACGTACAAGTTCTAATCTTTTATTTCTTTTTTTCACATCCTTAGTACCAAACATTAACGGAGTTGTAGTCGCTGCCCTCGATGGTCTAAATTTATTGTAAGTATATATAATGTTACAGTGTATAGATTCAAAACTTCATAATTATAACAAATATCGTTTTGTCTTTTTAGTTATGATAATAACGAACAAACGTAGTGCCGTTATGATGTAGTGCAATAATGAACAGGAATTTATTTCTTTACATGATCACGAGAACGGGACATGATATATGTATACATATTTTTCACAAACATTTATGAAAATAACGTCTTGTAACAGGTATTGTAATATTTTGTAGCGAACACGGTGAGATCCTAACGTTTCTTATTTCCTTAACCACAAGGTTGTAGGTATATTAATTGTTTGTACAATCTTGTATGTATTGTTATAATTCATACTTTGGAAGCAGTTGTCTTATTGTGTTTTCGAAAAATTGTAAATACAACATATAAAAGATGTATGTATAATAATAAATGAATGAAACTGAATTCTTGCGAATACTATGTTTAAAGTATTACTCTTGAATTACTTTAAATGGGATAATATAAATCATTACATGGATGTGGTTCGTTAGAAAAGAATTATTATTTTCCAATAGACTTATTTTATGTACAGATCTATACAATTGATTTGTATCATAATTGTATTAATTACTCCTAGTCATTACTCGTAATGGAACGTTACCTTCAATCTTGTGATTCATCTTGCTGTTTCTTTATTAAATGCAAATACCTCTTCTTACACAATAATGTAGTAATGAATGAGCATAAAAATATTTTCGTGTGCGTTTGCTAGTATAAGCCTGGGCGTTCCCTGGAATTCTTTCAGTTAGTAATTACGTATCTATAAAAGCCCAGTCTATTTCATCAAATACAGTTAGAAGTGAAAAAATTGAAATTGGAATAAATTATTAACCATATCGTTAACGACGTGTAATTTCAACCGTTGGCTTGTGTAATGTCGTTTCTTTAGAATCAATTGCATTTTTATTCATCTTATACCATACTATGAAATACGGGATTGTAACGACATATTCCAGGACCATACTCTTGATAAGCCTTTTTGGTATGACAAACCGTATAAAATTCAGGATCGCTTGCCAGTAAAGCACCACCATACCATACAGCGCAACGTTGTTTATGGTGCGATATCACGTGAACATCTATCGGCTTTGGCTGAAATAAAATTACGCGTATGCTTGCACTTTACACTGACTTTTGTATAATTTCATGAATATAAAAATCATGTCTCGAATGCATTTTAATAGAACAAATGTTACCGTAATATGACTTCCACTTAACGTTTCGCTAAGTTTAAGGCGAGCATCGACGATTCGTTTTATATCACGTTGTAATCGTCTACCAAAGTCTTTAAACATCGTAGAACCACCAGACAGAACAATATTACTGTACAACGGTCTTCTCACGTCTATTGGACAATTCTGAATCACATCATCCACGATTTCGCTTAACGGCGTTGTGAAGTCTGGATTAGAGAACTGAAAGAATACGATTATATTTATACGCAACCTTAAAAGCGAACTACGTTATGATAAATCTGAATTTGTATAGGCATACTTCAGGGTGAAAGAATATCTCTGGTCCGAGAAATCGTTCGTAGCCAACATCTACGATGAAAGGCTGTTTGGTGATATTGTTGATACCTTCATACTTTTTTATTTTAGTAGGATCGCTGTCATATTTGGCAAATTCTTTTGAAATATCAGGACATATGTAACAATGTTTCTCTTTAATTGCTTTGGCCGTTTCTAGTGATTGCTCGGGTGGTATTCCGATTTCGCGTTCTCTTAATAAACTTTGTATGAAGTAAGTAATATCCCGTCCAGCAATGGGAATATGTTTTATGCAGCTTCCAATGACAAAACCTTCTGCCTAGGAGACAATCAGTTAGCTAATATGAAAAAGGTTCTTGCCATATGATTTTATATGAATTTACATTTCGTGATTGTTTTCTTCCTTATACTTACAACTGGAATTACATGTGTTACTCCATCTCCACTGTCAACAACAACTCCTGTTAATGTTCTATCCTCTATACCCTTTGCTGCCCAAGATGCAGCTAATGCTAATACTGCTTGTACCGCGATATAAAGACCTGGTACATTAAAAGATTCAAACATTATTTCTGCTGTGTATTCTCTATTCTCTGGAGTGTTTAATGGCGGTTCTGTAAGTAAAAAGTAATGATCCTCGGGTTCTGCTCTCAAGTACTTGAAAATGCATTGCTGTAGGAATTTTTCCATTAAATCCCAGTCTTCTACCAGCCCATGTCTAACTGGGTACTAAACAAAATGATAAAACAGTTAAAAAAAGTGACTTGTTTGATTAACAATATTATGTACATAGGTCAGATATATTTGGTTCTTTTGAGCATAAGTGCCTGACATTATCCATAAGCAAAGTTAGGGTAACAGCTAGAGCAACAAGTTTAACATGCCTAATTAACAGTTAATTACAAATGCCTACTTTCACAGAATACCCAGTGGCTTCGAAAGCTTCATCTCCAATATAAGCATCCAAGTCCTCAACCCCTTTGGTGATCCTTCTGGCATTACTGTCTCCAACTTTTGCTGTCTCTTTTATAGCAATTGCTGATGGAATCATAAGTTGAGGCTCTTTATTGCCAGCAAAGCCCAGTTTTGTGTAACTGTAAATTATGTTGCGTGTATATCGAAGTTTAACATTTTTGATTAATATGTCTTATTTATAGAACACGTAGATGAAAAACAAAAACTGTAATCAATGGTTTCGAATAAGTATAAGATATTTAATGTGTCTCCTTTGGATCTGGCGTATAAAATGTCATGTGTCATAAGTTAGTCATGTCCTAGCCTATTCACTTTCGCCGGGGTTAAACAACTTTAAAATAGCAAAATTTACGTACCCTGTACCTACATCGATTACACACGCGGGGAGGCGTCCGATCATTGTGTTTTTTTCTTTTTGGTACCAATCACTTTTATCTAAACAAAGTATGTCCTAACTGAAACTTCAAAACTCGATCCTTGCTTTTCAGTTTCAATAAACCACACCTCATTTACAGAGATAAAGCTGGATAAAAAAAATTTTAGAAGAGAAACTTTTCGATGCAGTAGACTGTCAAACTGGAAATTGTGCAGAAATAATCAACGACACCTATGTTCGAAACTCTGGAACTGCAACGTGACTCATATGGTCATATCATATAAATTTAATATTTTTCGCAATGTACTGTTTAGATTGTTTAGAACAATCACATCTTCAAGTATGTTAAACATTCCATCAGCTATTTTTCAAGGCAAATTGAATTTTGCCTTTTTTTTCACGAAGATTTTTGGATAGCTTCAAGTTGAATTGAATGTATGTAACAGCTAAACTTCTATGGACTAATTGATAAGGAAACTTAATTCTTTGATTATATTTTTCTAATTATTTATTACTTTTCTCAAAATTATACTTATATAAGTTAAAAAATAAGGCAGCTCAACAATATAAAAGTATTATAAGAAAATATGGGTACATTTGTCTTTGGGTATTATATTCTTATATTAAATGGCAGTGGCGTATGTCGTAGAACAGAAACTTTAATGTTTCAGTTTGATTAAATGGACTAGTGTGTCATGTTTCGTTTTACTGTTGCTTTGATATGTGTTTGCGGGCACATAATTCTCATTGCACTCATAGCTCTTCCCGTTCCTTCGATTTACTTATGTTGTCATCGACAATTTTGGAATCTTCTGTGTCGCTGATGTATCCTTGTTCGCCGGTATAGTGAGTAGGATGAATTAAAAGAGGATTTGTGGAGAGTATTATTAAATTTCGTTTTGGATAGTACACCTTCCACTCCGTTCTGTGTGAAGAAAAGGAAATCATTTTGATATATAATAGAGTAGAAATTTTTCACTAAGAATTTCGGAAATTTTGCGAAACTGAAGAAATTTAATTATTTTTTACTACCTAGGGTGCGTGTTAGATAATATGGGGAGATATTCGTCGACAGGTATTAATTTTTTAAGCGGCTTAGCCTCCACAAGTCTTTTTGCTCCGTTTCTAGACAAGATGTATCCCAATGTCCAATAACTGTAAGCGGCACGTATCAAGTATTTTGAACCATCGATCGGAGACTCGGCACTCTCCACTAACCTTTTTCTTCCTAAATACCTATTATAAGATACTACTATTATGCTTGTATATTTTTCAACTTTGGCAAAAAAGTCTTAAACACTTACACCAAATCCCATTCGACTTGGAGACTGCTCAGCTCGTTTAAGACATAATTTACTTTTTGTCGAAAGAACGGTTCGAAGCGAACGTCGTCCTCTAAGATTATTACGTTTTCGTAACCACCTTCGATCACCTAATAATTTAGCATGAGTTCAATATGATTTCTAAGCAGTGAGGAAAAGCATTTTATTAAAAGTAAATTACCTCGTTCCAAATAATATAATGACTTAAGAAACAGCCGACTTCCCCCATAGTCATTGGTCTGTGGGCACATTTTTCTCATTATCAATCGATTAATTTATTTTCACCCTTTTATTCATCGTGAACTTACCTAGAGTGATAGGGATCAGCGTATTCGGGCATCATTTCCACACCCATATCGTTCAAAATGGATGGATTTAATGTCCTGCATAAACAAATGCGACATGGTATCTGTCATCACGGAAGCCTTGTTAAATTGATTTTCCGTTATCCGTTAACATAGCTAGCTACTGGTTTCCGTTGAGTCGTTCTTCAAAGCTTAGTAGAGTAGTGCCTCCAAAATCTCTCATTCGATATCTCCTATCCTATAGTTAATACCCTATTTCGCTTCTTTACAATCTTTCACTTGCAATCATCATCGAATGATTAGACACTAATCGGAGCACGGTCAGCAGTCGGAATAAGAAACGGAAACCAGTTCTGGACTCCGAAATTCTCTAACGAGCTATGAAATGAAAACCTTTCGAGGCACCACTGTAATTTCTTTCAACTTACCTACCATCAACCGCGTCAACAGTTTGCGCTCGAATGCCAAGTTCCTTGAACAGCCGATGCATTCTGCTTCGTCTTTCCGGTCTTCTTAAAAGATTGATCATATAAACATTATCAACCCCTAACGTATTCTCTACAGGATACTCCACGTACTGTTCAAGATCCTTTGATAATGGAATATACTCATTGTTTGCTGAAATAATGGATGATTTGTATTATTACGAGAGACACGTAAACATTGTTCTATCTACATTTGCTTTTCGAGTTTCCGTTCTATCGGAGCATTTTTCTAGAATAAGACGGTGCAACTTACTTAATATCTCTGTCTTAATATTGGTCAGAAGCTCTAAATCTTCCGTAATCGTTTCTCCTTTTTCTAACGGAACCGTGACAAATCCATAAACCTCATCGTTACAAATAAACAACGGCACACCTATTGTAAACGATGGGGAAGAAGGAAGTTATTAGGTGTTACTTAAAATAGGGAGAATAATTACGTGTAGATTTACCGGATTTGTTAGCACCGACAGCGAATGTTATAATATCGTCGTTGGGTCCATCGTACCACTTCAGATTACGTGGATCGTAAGTCAATTGATCCGAGGTGTGTTTTCTCAAATTTACAAGAACCGCGCTGTGAATCATGGGTACGTCGAAACATCCTGTTTCTTCCCGGAACAAGATTCGATGGTATTTCTCCGTTCTAAGATAATAATAATCGGCGTTCATACCGGCCCAAAAGTTGCTGTACATTCCATCCGATTTCAGTAATGGCGCGGTTACGGTTTCATTTTTTGAAATCAACTTTTCAAGAGTATCCGGATTCGTTAGGAAAACGTCCGCATCGAGCATCTGTAATTTTATATGAAACTGTAATGTTCATTCTATGTTCATTTCGAGAAATTATGAAAGATTAAATACATACCAGAACAAAATCTGCCCAGATATTTCTTCCGGTGTTGAGACCCCTCTCACGTAGATTTATAACGTGTAGAAATCTTTGCGTTGACCAATCAGCGATTCCATCCTCGTTTTCAATGCCATCCGATTTTTCGTCGAAGTCTGTATCGATTCCGTGATATTGGTTATTTTTACTCTTCACCCATGCGGACAATATTTCGATGGAATTATCGATGTTGTTGTCACTGTATATGCTTTAGAGGATAGAAACGTAATTCTTAATAAGGACCATAAACTTTACGGACATTTAAGTATAAATAAACAAAATGAAATAATCATGATCTTCATCCCTAAATAATGGAAAGTGTTTCTTCCATTTATCCCTTAAAAAATATTGTTCGCGCATTCGTGAATTAAAAGAAACTATATAATAACAAAATCGATAACGATCAAAAACCGATCGAAAAGTTTTTATCTTCTTATATTAAAACGAAAATTTATTTGACAAAAACATTTATTACGGGATATATTAGCAAATTTCCAACAGTTTTTATTTTAATTTCAGCCGTAAGTCATGATAGTCATTTTATTGAAACAAATAAATTTAATGGCGGGAACTTAGATTTCTAAGCACGCCCGGTTTCTATAATAAGAAAAAGATGTTCTGAAGTAGAACTTGACATTATTCTCTTGATAGAAGTTGTTGTATTAAAGGATGGAACTTAAATAAAATTAAAGGTCCTTATTTAAATAGTAGTGATAATCATGACAAATTTGAACAGTGCTCTTTGTTTCCAAAATAATTCCCCTGGACTTTTAATAAATTCTTAATAATACGCAGTCGATATAATATTTAATTCTACATAATATTTGTGACAATTCTTTTAATATAATATTGCAGAAAAAGTGAGGTTATGCAAAGTACACTTACCATAGATGAATTCGTTTCTTCGGGTAATTCAGACCTTCCAAAAAGGTTAAAAAGTATGGCAACGTGTGCGCTTTGTTTCGTACTAAAATCGACACTAATACCGTTGGTTTTTTCAAATCTTCGCCGTATGTTATTGAAAACGTGATAAGAAGAATGAAAGAAATCAAAACATTGTTCACTGATCCCATTTCTGAAAGTTATTAGTTTGTAACTTGCTTATTATTGTTTTCGTGTTTAATGATTGTTAACTGACCGAGACAGAAAAAACACGACAAAGTTCAAAGAATGAACATTTCAAATATACATTTATTTCCGTCTTGACTGCCCCGTTTGTTGCGTCGCCTTTTCTGATAAAATTTGACCACCCACGTTAGAAACTTGTGTAGCCGATAAAGCGGTAAACTATATACTTTCGTGGGCTACGTAGCCTCTTACCATTTCAATGTCAATACCCGACGTTACCGATACATCATGAATTGTGAGTATTATTAGCACAAACGAAGTGTTATATATTCCATGTATATCCAATATGATTTGGTGGGAATAAAAATATTCAATGCTCGGTTTAAAGGACGAATATAGTACTGATGAAATATCACACGCGAAAGTATATATTTTGTCACTTATCTAAAAGACAACTTAATCTAAATTGATCGTTAATGGACATTTTAGTAATGTTGCTTTTTTCACGTTCTCCTTTATTCGTTTTTAGATATTTTTTTATCTGATAGATAGATATGAAGATATAAGAATCTTAATACACACAATCAATTACCTTCTGGCAATTGGTGAAAGAGTAATTAAATAAGAACTTCGACCCAACCAGAGTTCAACTAGTCAAGTTTTCTCCATAAAGAATAGTTTTGATCTATTATTTAACTGGTAATATCTGTTGTTTTGTATTTCATAAACTTTGGCATCATTGTCAAATTGACAGGATCATAGATGGCGTTCGAGAACCATTGGACGATTGAAAACTTCGAGAAGACGAGAGCAAAATTAATACTTTCAATCTATTACGAATTGGAATAACACATTTTCGGGGATAGTGTGTACCTCTTTGTTTCCCTTTTATGATAGTCATTCCTTTCTGAATTAATCTCGGATGCATATAAGAAAAATGTATTGAAATATAATTCGGTGGTAAATATTCTATTTCGTAGTAATAGGAAGTGGCGCGCGAGGGAGGCGACCAATCCTCGCGTTCCACACACCGATCCCCCAATCATAGCCAGTCATGGGCAGCCTAACGGTCATTCTTCTTGGTGAAGGTGAAGTGATTAGACGTCAAGTGATCTCGCTCCTGGGGAAGTAAGTATTATTACTTATTTCTTTAAATTATTTATGCTATTGGTATCTTCGTTAGCACTCTACCATTACTTTCGGTTAGTATCTATTCAATTCCGTATAAATAATCGTAAATTAACTCGGTATTGCTGGATAAACTGAACCGGCTTCACGATTTCTGTTCTCCCCCCGATACCACTTAGTATTTACGCAGTTTTTGATCAATTTGCAATGTTTGGCAACATTCCTCGAGTCAATAATTGTTTCCTTTTTATTCAATCATTGTGAATTTCGTATAACTACTTCGTATTAATGTGTATTTTCTGTTTCAGAATGCCGGCTAGAAGGAACGCGCCGCCGATGAGATGACTGTGGACTCCCATTAGAAGCAATTCGGCGGGAAACTGGTGACTTTTGGTAACGTATTAGAACAAAATAGGTTAAACATATTTCTATTTTATTGCATTTTCGTTGTTTTTACGTTAAACATAATGGTGACTTTATAATTAGCTGTGCTAAAATCAAATAAGAATACTTTGGAGAATTATTGCACATTCAAACGCGTAATTGAAGCATTCAACATGGCTTCCTTGTTAGAAACCGTTAGAAACCGTTAGAAAATTTTAAACGAGATGCTTCCAGAATTTTCAGTTAGAAATACTCGTACCGTACTGCATCTCGGTCGCGAAATTATTTCAATTTTAATAACTTCACCGGTTTATCTTTATGATGTCATCGTATTTGCATTTGTATACAGTTTCGGATGTAAGTGTAATTATATCGAAGCTGCGTAATTTATCATGCTCATCGAAGCTTGACTAAATTACGAAATTTTGATATTTGCAATAATTTCCAAATATTTATAAAATTCGGTACGCGATTTAGACAAAAAGTATGAGTAAACGTATTCTTAAAGTCTAATAACGAATGTCTTCAATATAATATATTAATAACAAATATATATGAGTAATGAATACAGAGAGATGAGAATTACTTTGAAATATTTTGCGTAGTTAAATTCACATTTGCATTTTAACGCATATTTATCATTGAATGACAATTTTTTCAACGTAAACACTTGGTCGATATAAAAATAAAAAGGATAAGCCGGTGCACGTGCGCCGTATTGTGTTTCTTTCCCCTCCTTTTTTTTTTCAGAGTTTGGTGGCCGCGCGCAAGGCGGTCGAGTCGAGTCAGTGTTTACAATCGTACAAGTTGTTTATGTTTGCGCGCAGCGAACTGTCTCAGATTACAATCTCACCGGAGATGTCGTTAGGTCCTCGCGACAGTCGAGTCAGTGTTTTTTGCGTACAATCGATTACTTTCAGAGTTTCGGGACACTTTTTGCTTCTTTAGTCGCGAAAATAAAGTCATTTGTTCGCCGGCTTGGATGTTCGGTCGCGATAGTCTTTTATTTTAATTTTTTTTTTATTTGAAAGTACTCGTTCGGAAAAGTAGAGTCAGTGCATCACGGAAGAGGATGTTTTTGGGCGAAGCTCTACAAAGAGAGATTGTAAGTATCTTTATATTTTATTATTTACACTGTTCAACTGAAACAGCTAGAATGTTCAGAAGAGGTTATAACGAATTCTGTTCCTTTTTTTTTCAGATTCTTCCAGATACTGCATAAGCGACCACTACAGAGGATGTTCTTAAGCGAAGCTACACGATTTTTCGAGATTCTTCGAGTCTTATAGGGACCTCTTCTATCATCGGGTGAGTCGCATGCTTTTATTCCTCCAGTCCCCAATCATGTCGTAGGACGATTAGTCCGAAGCGGCACGGGTGACAGGTTGTATACGTGCTTTTGGCGAGTACAGTGAACGCGGATATGCAATCGTACGATTGTGTATTCGCGAGTAGTATTTGATCTGTTATTTTTCTTAGTTAGGTTAGGGTCTTCTTGTACGCCGCGCTTATTATTAGTAATATAATTCATAAATATTTTGTATTTAAAGTATATTTATGAGTTAAATATTCAATGTTTGATATGATGCAGACGAAACCACATTGGATATTTTGCATTTCTTTTAGTGCTGCAATTTAACATGAAATCTTGATATTTCAAGATAGAGCGATTTATTATTTAAATAATTGTTCTTTTTTGATTAATTGAGTATATGTCGTGGTAGTACGTTATTCATTTCACTAAAAAATGCAGTAATTTGAAGATGATGCGTATAATAATTTCATTGTAGTCACTTCAGT